GAATCTGGTGTCCATCTTGTTGTGTTAATGAGGTATGACAACTTGGACCGATGCATATTTTTGCCTGGTCCTATGTTGTAGCTGACTGACTGATTATCAAAAGGCGTTTTGGTGAGATTTTAGAAATTTCACTGATTGAAATCATGAGTCGATTGAAGCTAGACTACCATGGAAAACCTGGAAGCATTTGACGGCCGTTTCGTCCTAGTATGGGACTCTTTTATTATCAAATGATATTGTAGTGTGAATAAGAATACAAATGGGAATGATCAGATACACTTATAAAATGTATATACAGATTGTTTCAAACTTTATTATTCCAATCATTTCCTTTTCTCATTCTATTCCATAGAATCCTTTCAATCTTTTGTTACTAGGCATTCTATTGTTTTCGACTGATATTGCATTTATCTGACGATATAAGTAGTATACACCACAATATAATTTCATTTGTTCTATAAACTAAGATGAATAATCTTATTACACATATGTTTTTTTAATAAGAAATTTATATACATGCTATACACCTTGATTTACAAAGTTTATACTAATGTTCATTATGAAACTAGATACACAGTTTAATGGATCATTTGATAGTGGTATACACTTTGAAACTGAAGTATGAAAGACATAAAAGAGGAAGAATCTATTTGTAAAATCTTAGTGAATGAATTTTAAGTGAATCTAGAACTTCAATTGGTCAGTCTCTTATTGGCATATGTGCATACGGTGCGTATTGCCTTAAGTCACAAGCATTATAAGCAAAGATGGATGATGCAGGTACATCCAGTTGACAAGAGCCAAATAGAATGAAAAGCGTCATGGATTCCAATGGTAGCCACTATCCATCTTCACGTTAACAAGACTATGCACAGAACAAATCACAACATTAAGGATCATCGTTAAACAATCGATTGGATGGAACTCTTCACTATACATCTACTTACTTGATTATGAGGCGTTTCAGAGAGTGGTTAGGAGAACATTATGGAACATTGTTCGACGCCATGGTGTACATGAAAATATCTTCAACGTCATACGGAATTCCTACGACGGACTAAGCTGCAAAGTCCTGAGTGGAGGATAACTGATAGGTGCATTCCAAGTAAGGACCGGAGACAAACAAGACTGTCTACTCGCCCCCTTCCTCTTTCTTATGGTGGTTCACTGGATTGTGAAAACCTCGACATCTGAGGGAAAGCACGGAATAAAATGGACAGCTTGGAATCAATCACAGGAATTGCACTTCACAGAGGATGACCTGGACCCTCCTCTATCCCATACACACAAACAAATCCAGATGAACACAACTAGTGTAGCAACAGCCTCTCCATCACTAACACTCAACATACAAAGCGGAAGAAGCAAGATCTTCAAATACAATACACAGAACATCAACTCAATTACACTTGATGGAGAAGCTCTGGAAAATGTGGAATCTTTCACGTGCCTGTTAAGCATCATCGATGAACAAGGAGGATCGGATGCAGACGTGAAGACAACAATTTTCCAAGCAAAAGCGACATCTCTTCCTATAGCCCATGCTTTATTTTTACTTCGATCATTTCCATCTGATGAATAAATCAATCTACCATTCAGCAGGATTTCAATTAGTTGAATATTTAATGGGAATCATCAAGCTTGATTTGGATTCAAATCCATTATTTCTGACAGCAGTGAATTAAACCGCTTAGTCACATCGCAACTGACTGAGCCAGCAAGTGAGGTGACAGTATTAGGCATTACTGTATTAATAAACGGTACACTAGGTATCCTTGTAAATAAGAATTTCATGTCGATACATTTCTAGTTTGACAAACAATCTCTATTACAAGACCAAGTAGGTGATAATAAGGTATAACTTTCCAAAACTACAACTTCAGTCTTCTTAATAAAAAAAAGTATATATCCTACATAAAAATACATACATGACTCCACAAGAAATTTCCGTAACACTCAGAAAAAACTGAGTTGCTAGAACGTCTCAGCACAGTTGCTAAAGATAGATTATGAACGATCTCCCAAATTCATTCTTTTCCTGGATAACATCTTCCAATTTTCAAACTAAATTATGTCTTCGTGCTTTTACTACTTATTATCATTAGGTAGTTTGAGTTAATTTCAAGCATTTCTTGCCAATGCTAATTATCTATCGGGCCGGATTCCAATTTACTAATTCAACATTTTCTACCAATGATTGTCTCTATCTTTTCTCATAAGTGTCGATTGATTATTGAAGCTTCATAGATATTTGTGCTCTCGCACAAAATAGTAAATACTTCATTTCTGTCGGTACTCAAAACATGACAATCGTATGGTGTTCATTCTGACAGGATACATTCTATATGAATGTGTACCCAGCACTTGGATACTTCATAATATGAGGTTCATATATCCGTAATATTTATTTAAATTTATCTAATAATACTGGTTTGCAGGATATGTTGTCTTCTTATTACAGATTTTTGAATATAACACGATTGTTGGGTTAGAATTATCACATAAACATACCTGGAGAATTGCAAAGCTGAAAGTGTCGGTTGCGACATAACATTGACATTTTCAATTATTTAATACGACCTAGATTATTTCTAATTTTTCGAGGTGAAGACAAACAGGAAAATAGTAAACTAATGAAATTGACCAGAATCCTTTCATGTTTATTATTCAATTTGGTGCCACTGTTGGTATTATTATTTGTATGCATAGTTTCTAGAGACACTGCAGTTTAAAGTGATAGCTCGAACCAACACATATATACATAGCCAGTTGTAGTTTACCGTTATCTGTTTCAGTGTCAGTTATAAGGCCAACTGTATTTCTGTCTTTCAAAGTCATTTCCAAGTTCACAAAATAATTGACCACTGTGGAAGCATTCTACATAGTTCAAATATCGGATTCACAGAGATACTGTAGAAAAATATCTCAGACCAGTTAACTTTAATGTTAAGGATAGGGCTTTTTAATAGAAATTTTGACAACTAAAATTTCCATCACTCATCCTTAACTCAAAGCGGTTATGTTTAATTAAACTGTGAATTTCAAGAGCTGGATGCAAGATGGAGCGAAAAAATGACAAATGTTGACATATACCACTGTAACTGATTCCACTTACCAGCAAAACTCAGATAACTATGCTTTTTAAAATATTTTCAAGGATCTAACATTAACAGTAAGTAGAAGTAAACTCAAGATATTTGTAGAATGTATGTTATCGTATGGCAAAGGTACAAAATGTACGTGTATATACATCATCATCCTAGTGCTATTAAACAAACTTGCAGCAAAATTCTGTATCTTCTCACAATAGAAAAGTTGTATAGAGATGCTACAACTGTATAAAACACTCCTTTAAACTGTCAATAACTATTAATCTGGAAAATCATGAAACCAAGAAACCCTCATCTAAGGTTTAAATTTTTTTGTTAATTTATCTGAAAAGAACTTACAAACCGTTTAGAGCATCAACGGGATTTTCAAGAGAACATAGCCCTTCAAAACAATTTTCAATCAGTGAATAAAACGTTGTCGTTAAAATTACGATCGATACACCAGTTAGTCATTTATCAAGTTACTATAACCCATTAGGAACAATAGAGGTGAACACTTTTTTATTTATTTTAACACAGACATTCGTACAAGGAGGCACCAAGTACATATGCGCCACACAAATCTCATTTGATGTGTGAGGGCTGTGATACTGTTCGGGTGCCCAAATCGAAGCAGGTGGTTTTCTTAGAAGGCCTACCTCCGAGCCTTCGACCTGAAGGTCTGATCCACAAGGCAGCGGAGCAGTCCCATGGAAGCCATTTGTTCCCTCAGGGTACTGGACCCCATGTGCACCATTGGTTTGTGATCCGGTCAAAGCACCGGATATTCGCTTTTCGTCCTCTCATTTTCGTAAACAACACCCCCACCACGAGAAGGCAGTGAGTAGGACTTCCCTGGCAGAGGCTATATACGCGTGGCCATGTGAGAGCATTTCGAGAGGGAGAGTGGACTCTCCCCACTCTCGGCCGTACCAGGGTATTTGGGGGCAGGTGAACACTTTAGGGAACTTTATATATATCACATAAGTAATATCATAAATCTGTGTAAAGTAATAACTCAAAATCTAATTCTAAAGTACACCTCTCTCCGAGTTCTAGAAGTCATCAAAGAAAGTCAATTGATGTTTTTCACACAGCACAAGGTCTCGGTTATCATCTAGTTTTGATTAAATTGAAAATAGAATGAAGTAATACTCGTTTTCACCGTTGAATGAAGCATTAAATCCAACCAGTTAGCAAATAATTACTAACCACAGACAAAACACAGAAACCATGGCAACGTACTAAAAATAAAGAATTAATTCATATCTTGACATCTAAAGAATTTTGTGACAATACAAATCAATCTTATTTCAGATCTGTATGTAGTTCACTTATCAAGTAAGGGTTCTTACATACTTGGCTGTGAAACATGTGTCTTGTATGAGGTTTAGTGTTAGTATTCGGTTGCCTAAACCGAAGTCAGTAGGACTAGGTTCAAACCTAAAATCAATTGGTCAGAAGTTGACTCCATCGATCACCGATCTATTTAAGTTTGAGTACCAGAGAAAAGAAATTACATCCATAGATTTCAGACCCAGATGGTTAATTTTCACACATAAAAATATGATCTATTTATTCAAATTACCAGTGTCATTCCATAACTCATGGATCCGCGATAGGAGTAAAAATAAACATGATCGTTTATACCACGGGCAGTTATAAAACTGCTGAAAACTACAGCTGTTCCAAGTTGTAAGGAATTTCCTATAAGTGCACATTTACGAACCCTTCAAGTTTCACAATGAGCACTTAACCTCTAGATTACTGATCCTCCATCCGATAAATTGCATGTTTAACATCAATCAGTTCGCTATATTACAGAACCATCTTCTAATGTCAGTAACGGATAACTGCCTTACACCCGACATGGTTAAACTCTACTGGTCTAAATCTATCAAAACTCGTGTAAGCGCACAACGAATTTTAGATACAAAATTATTTTTAGAATAGAAATTATTGTTGGTTTAAATGATTGTACAAAATTTTAGCACCAGATAAAGGTGATATTTTCAAAGTTTCCACAACAGGATTCAAAGCTTCTTTGAGTGCATCGCAAATATTCTCATCGCCAAGTTCCCACAGACTAAATGAGAATACAAAACAAAATTAAATGACGTAAAAATATGATATAATATATACGGTTCGTAATATTTGATTGACCAGAATTATGGATGATACATAAGTATGATCCCTAAATTGTCACTTTATTACAATTCAGAAACCATAACCTTTTATATATCCATCTGCTAACCAAAGGATGAGTTTACTGTGTAGCAGTTTGCTTCGTTCTATTTTATGGGCGTGATTATAACAAACAGAGGATGTTAGTACGTCAGAACATAAGTTGCTTATGCCCGCCCACCGCCTATCTCGACGGATGAGTGGATTGGAAAGAAGCCAGAGGTGCCCAGAACAAAACGTAGTACTAGTATATAGTCACTGACAATTGGACTAAGGCATACTATCAGTTGTAGACTATCTAGATGGGATTCGGGTAATTATTGTAACAAACGGTTGGAGACATTGGATAACACGACTTAGAATTGGTTGCAATGGTCTAATATCCATTCACGCTTTGTCTTAAGATACTTATTATTTTGAAAAGTCATTCTTCCTTCTTAAATCATATTGTATGTCTAATCTTGTCCACTATCATTGATATTGTCTCAACTTCTATTAATCTGGCATTTGTTTTGATAATTTGATCTCGTTATGGTCATATGGAGCAACGAATTGAAAGGATACTCATGTGTCAGATTCTACGTCGCTTATGACTATCTGGAAGGTTAGGAAGAATATAACCTAATAACTGTTGTTTTGAATATTATATAATTATGGAACTTGAAAACAACCGAGAGTATTGTGGTGTATGCTACTTATGGTGACAGATATAAGCAGTATGTAGCACCAATCGGAAGTGGAATGCCTGTCAGTAGAAGATTGAATTAAAGAGAACAGGGGAGCAAACACAGAGCAATTGTAATAACAACAGCATTGAAAGAATCATGAAGCATGTAAAGGATAACTGAAGGAAGATGTGCAAATAACGTATTTAATGTATGGTTTTCAGATTTTATGAAAGCACTTGTAATTTTGTATTAAACATTAATTGGTTTACCTGACCTGAGTTCCCGTTCACTACAGTACTAAGAAATCAAAGTCTAAATGATTGTCAATAAAATCTGCAAGTAATTCAGCTGTTGGAACTATCTAGTCAAATATAAGCAATAGTAGGAAATCCCCTTAACATCACCAGTTACACATAAAAAACGTCACAAGAAAACCTATCGAAAGTGTAACAGACCAGCCAACTTAATCAGCAATTATAATCACTACAAAGTTTGTTTTCTCCAAGAAAGCACATAGATGTTTAACAGATCAGTCAATCAATCTTAAACTAGATAAGACTAAATACAAATATATATCAATCTAAATTGCTATACTTCAGCATCGGCACCTGTTAGAGAGGGATAAGAAAGTGATTCAGAGGAAGGAGAGTAAAGAAAACATCTCCAATCAACCATAGATTAAGACTGGTGCACGGGGCCCAACATAGAAGGTTACATTGTCTGATACAGCTCAGATCAATAGTTAGTGATTTTATTGACTAATGTATCTTAGTATGACCAACGTTAGCATTTTCTTATCGTACTCATATGCTAGATAGACTAGAGTAGTGATCGAGTATGTGTAACCATTTTAATCAATGAAGGTGTTCAAAACTCATCAACTTAGTTAGTCTACATCAACACTACATATAACAAATCTCAACAAACCGATAGGAGAAAAGAAAACATTCCAGGCCATAAAATAAACCTTCAAACGAACCAGCAACGTAAAAGTACCTTGCAATGAAATAATGTTAACTTACTTTACTAGAATGTAACAAGTACGATTACACTTGATCCAAGATTGAAAATTTTCGGCTGGAACACGTTTTATAATGAGTCGAGCAAAAGTAACTATTTCGACAAAAATATTTTTTTTTAAAATGCACACACAGAGATAGAGAAACTTTGTACTTAAATATGATATGCAAAACTTTATAAGTAATGAAACCAAAAGTGGAACATTTTACTTATTTTCAAATTGATAACAGATTACTGTTCAATCAGGTAATTAAACAAAACAAATACTTAATTATGCCTGTCAACAAATGGTTCTACAACTGACTAAACTGCGAAGTTGTGAGTGAAGGATAACTGATAGATGAATTCCAAGTAAGAACTAGTGGTTTACTGGATTATGAAGACCTCGACATCTGAGGGAAAGCACCGAATAAAATGGACAGCTTGGAATCAATCACAGGAATTGCACTTAGCAGAGAATGACCTGAACCCTCCTCTATCCCATACACACAAACAAATCCAGATGAACACAACTAGTGTAGCAACAGCCTCTCCATCACTAACGCTCAACATACAGAACGCAAAAAGCAAGATCCCCAAATACAATACAATACAATACAACCTAATTACACTTGATGGAGAAGCTCTGGAAAATGTGGAATCTTTCACGTGCCTGTTAAGCATCACCGATGAACAAGGAGGATCGGATACAGACGTGAAGACAAAAATTTTCAAAGCAAAAACGGCATCTCTTCCTATAACCCATGTTTTATTTTTACTTCGATCATTTTCATCTGATGAATAAAACAATTATGCCTTTCAATAAATGGTTCTACAACTAATTCAGTCAGTCAATTAGCTAAAACATTGGAACGACACCAGTTCTTAACGTCAAGCCAGCTTATCTACTGATTGTACAGCATTTCATAAATCATGTAAAAAAATCTTTTTGTCTTTATTTCCTCAGTTATAGAATTAAAATTAAAAGTTTACTTGAAGTACAATAATTCTCATTATTTATCAGTTTACTAAAGACACTAAATTTCAAAATGAATATAATGACTAAATTAAGCATTTGTAATTTGTATTTATTACAAATTAACCTCAATTTTAGTAACATGGAAAACAAGGTAGTATTGGACAGCTGTTTCATCTTGATATAAGACTTCTCAGCAGCAATCAGTTATTACCACGGAAGGTATCACATCTTCGAAATTAAATCTTGTGGTTGACCCTTAACCGTTAGACGTACTGGGTCGATGGCCAATGGTAGAATCTCAACGTTAAACGATTTGTAATACGGCACAATGGTTATTCAGTGACACTGATTACAACTGTTCCAAACTTCATGTGCCTGAACCCCACCAGTCACGACATCTCACAAGAACTCCAGGAATATCTTGATGTTAGTAACTAGTGAGGTGAATAACATGGTTTGCGTGAATAGGTCCGGTGGAAATTGGTTTAATTTACAAGTTGTAATCATTACATACTGATCTCGGTCGGGGTACAACTGAAGATACCTGAAGGTCCTGAGTTCAATCCCTGAAAGAGGGTCATTATTATATAATATCAAGGAATCCTACACAAGGACGAAACAACTGTCAAATACTCTATAGTTTTCGATACTACACCGAGATTAATCTGTAACGAATATAACCTACAACTAAGTAAGTTAGTTACATTCACTCTCACTTAAAATCAATGTTTGAATGATTAGACAAACATAAAATAAATATGTTCATTTACATGATACTAGTAACTTAGAATGCTGATAATCAACAATAAAACATACAATTTTCAGTCGTTTCCTCCATTTTTAATAAACGACGTATCAGATATGCACCTTCAGGTCGTTCAATGAATGGTTTCGAACTAGATTGATTCATTGTACATGTTTCATCAATAGACATATGTTGATTATTCTCTTGTTCCTCATTATCGGATAATGATTCTCTCCCAGTGAGAAATGATTTGACTTTCTAAAATTGATTAAATAAACATTATTTTAGAAATAATTGGTTTAGGAATTGAGCAGTCGATAAAAGAAACAAATAAATATATTGTAATTATAAAACAATCATTGGGGTAATCGTTTATTGGTCACAACATTCGACTTCCCAACCGTTAGGTTTCGGGTTCGAGTCCTCAAACCCCACCTAATTCCGCTTGATTCCTCAGGTAGTATCATTAGTTTGCGCAAGACTGAAGGTCCCTAGTTCGAATCCCGCGAGCGGGATTGTGGATGCGCAGAGTTGAGGAGTCCCATAATAGGACGAAACAAAGGTCAAGTGCTTCCGGGTTTCCAATGGTGGTCTAACATCAATCGGTTCATGATCTCAATTAAAAAGTATCATTAGTTTTCTCACTTAGAGTGTAGTTTTAAACTTGAATACATGAATCTTTACCTGACAAATAAGTTACACCATGAAAAAAATAATTGAATTCTTTGATGAAACTACTCAAGAAAAAGCACATCTAATAGTAAGCGTTGATATTGCTTAAAATGGCAATGAAAACGAAAAAAATATTCACAATTTAAGAAATGAAACAATATCAACAATAAACTGAACTTTCGAAGAAGAAAAAAGGAGTTGCCAACAAGATCAGAGAGACGAAAATTTATGAACGAACTAATGAAATTAAAAACAGAAAGTCTTGAATTTCAATATGAAGTTCTCTTATCTATATGGTTAAACAGTATTTTAGCATTATAAGTGAACTCCGTTCGTAATGAAAACTTTAACTCTCAGTCCTAACGCCGTTTTTGACCCTAGTGGATTTGCTCAAGGTCACTTTAGTGTCACTTAAAGACCAGCTATCAAATACAGTTTCATCATAAGATCACTGATTAATGCAAGATGATAAGTATTTAGTCTAACGTTTGGAAACTTCAGTTATTCATTAGTTTAGTATCTTATTCTATTGTATTTGGATAATTTTTGTTATGAATTCATTCAGTTTTGACATTTGCTCAGTATGAAATAAATATTATGGCTACTATTTAAATAGAGTTAGTAATCAACGGAAAGACTAAAGGGCTAGATCAGATGGTGGTTAGAGGTAGTCGACAGGAAACCCTGGACCCGGGTTTCATGCTACTTGGCACTCGTCAGCAAGGTGTACCTGTAATCTTGAGGGAACTGGTGCTCCCTGGCGGATTTGATCCCGTGTCACCCAGGTAGACTTTTTCTACTTATTAGTTGAAAATCGTGTCGAGAGTATTGGCGATATAGTGTTGAAGAGTACTTATATGCCCTTATTAATTGCATGAATGATAGGATACTGAAAAATCAAACTTAACAATCAGGTCATAAATGATTGGAGTGAGTGACCTACAAATTGATTTGCTTCGACTGACTATGACATCTTATCATGTATATTTTGTAGATAAAAACGTAATTTTATTACTCAAAAAATCAATTCTTCAGGGGGTGCCTATTAACAAGGTTTTTACATGAACTGGAATTCTCACTCTAGGGAAAAAGAGAATTGAAGTTGGAGTAACAAAACATTTAGCTAGTGCGTAAACGTATCAACGCCTACTACTGAGTTGATATATCCGAAATATGTAGCTCAGAGTAGACCAAAACAGTCGCGTCCAGGCTAATTTACAAGTTTCAGATCAAACAATATATAGTTCAAATCATAAAAATATCCTAATAAGATCAAGTTATGGCAGTTTAAAAAGTAAGAATGAAAAATAACTGGATAAATAGAATTATAACACTATAGATAGTGATCAAATATGTTCATGGAAAATTACAAAACAACATCGTTTTGGGGTTATAATCCAATGCATTTTAATGTAGAAGAATGATTACAAAGACAAACTGATGAAAAGAAAAACGATCTAATTTCCTATTCAAAAAACATAGGCACATAAAGAGTTATTTGTAAGTGAATTTGACAGAAATTGCGGAAATTGATCTTATTATAGAAAATCTTTTGTCTAGAGAAAAATTACCATTTTAATCAGAGATGAATCGTGGTTAACAGTGGAATCCAGGACGCGTGTTTCGTCTTATTTGGATCTCTTCAACTAGGTGTATCTGCATTCTAGAGTTAACTCCTGCTTAAAAAGATTGTGACTTAGTGGCAATACATAGGCAATTCGTACAGGATAAATATATATCAAAAAGAGACTGATCAATTACAGTCCTAAACAACAATAAGGAGATTCAAATGACCAATACAAGAATGAATTAGAAATCACCATTATCATGTAAACAATCAAGTCTCAAGTATAAAACGAGAACACACATATAAACCAAAGAAAACAAAACAAACTAACTAACTGGATTCTTTTGTTTAGCCAAATAAGCTTCAACTAATGAAACTGCTAATTTATGCCGAGATAAACGTAAATCATCACGATTTCGTTTCTGTGATTGTTGATGTTGTTTCCAATGAGTTTTTTCCTCCTTATCATCATCATCATCATCATCATTACCAGTTGGATTGAATTCCGGTACTAAAATATGTGTAACAAGCTTTTCTAAAGCTAATCTTCTTGATGTTTTATAAAATGATAAATCTTTTGGAGAGATGGTCCAATTTCCAAATTGAACACGTGTATCATCATTTGTTCTCTTATACATTGGTAGTACAATATCTACATTTAAATTATATGGAGAGCTGAAAAAAAAGGAAAAAAATTAACCTACAGTAAACCATTGTGAAAGTGATTTACCTATTTCTAGACTCAATATGTTATTCTGTAAAAAAAAACGAGTATACACAATGGGAATGAAATAGCTTTGCTCGTTTTATTATTACGTTTATGCCGTAAAGTTAGAAATACTACTATACTCAAATATCAGTAAGCATGTCTGGTACGAAAGAAAACATTGACGAAAGGTAAATACTCAATCGGTGTATTCATCAGCCTAGTTTTTATGAGCTTGCTGTTTCCGAACTCCAGGTAGGCATCAATTGATTTCCGAAGCTAATGTTTTAAAAACTATATCAATCAAACTGATTCCTCCGTGGATATTACACGAGGATTTAATATTTTCTTTTAAAATGAGACGATTATAGATTGAGATCATCTAGCTCCTGAACTGTAGTTATTATAGAAGTCAGTTGAACTTTCGGGACTAAGATTCTATTCTTAAAGACTTCTAGAGTTAGCCTATCAAGTCCTTCTGCTCATTATTTGAGGCTAAATCTATTATTACCAGTAAAAGCGCTACAACTGAGGTATCCAAATAGCAGACTGTCCATCTACTGAAAGTGATCCAAATAATATGCTTCTCATCGAGTAAATATGATTGATAGAATTAACCAGTGTAGTGATTGATTTTTAAATCGTAGCTGAATAATGAGAACGTCAAAACATGTTTGTTTTGTACGCTGATAAAACTTGACTTCAGATTCATCTGTACGTTAAACTCCTTTCATGGACACGATACCCTCTCTCTGAAGCAATCCGGCAATTTCTCTAGACGTCAACTTATAAATTACGGTTCAAAACTAAGTACATGAACATGTGGACAGGATCTAAGTTAAATCTATTCAAAAGATCGTTAACATGGCTGATCAGTTGTTGGAAAAATTCGGTGATATTAGAACTATGAACGAAGTTGCAGAAAGTTAAACAACAATTCGATTTAATTGATTTGATTATACCATAAACAACTTTAAAATCACAAGAGAACATCAATTCAAACAATTTCCTGTTGCAAGCTCTCCATAGAAAGCAACATATGTTAATAATCAGTTTCTTTTCATTATCAATTTGATCAAAATATACACAATTATGAAGGTAAGTGATAAAAATTAATGAGGTTTATTAACAGTTTAGTGATAAAAACTGATGAATTAGGAAATCATACATGAATGAAAATATAAAATACCTTTTCTCAAGAATTTCACTCAAAAGAACAAGACGACCCAAATCTTTACTTGTTAATAGACCAACTTCACTTAATGAATCACCAATAAATAACTCGACCAATTTATGATTAACTAAATTAAGTAAAGCTGGTAACATCATTGATTGTAATTGGCGCATTTCCATTGCACGTACACCAAGTAATTTCTTTGTATAAATGCTTGTATCACCCGGAACTAAGATACTATTAATTAATTGAGGACAGAAATGACGACGATCCCTGGGAGATAACATATATAGTAATACTTTACGTGCATTAGGATGCATGACAAACAATTCTAAATCGTCTAATATTTCCTACAATTAAAAAATAGAAAAAGAAATTCGGGCAAAACCATAAACAAAAACTTATTTCCAAGTGACGGTGTTAAAACCTCTATCAGAGTAGATAGTAGATAAAATAGTCAAATTTACTAATTTAATTCACATAAAATCAAATATATTTTCGCACCGAAAATAATAAGCGGTATACAAATAATTTTGTGTGAGTTGAGATATTGACAGAGCGCAAAAAACGAGGTATGTAGTCTTTAAAGAGGCTACTCCCCCGAGCCTTTGATCGAGAGGCCTAATCTACGAGCCAGGAGAACGTGAGGATCTGACGTTGCGTGGTGGTGAGTGACCAAAATATGTACATATGGCACTAGTTCAATCAGGATCCTGTAGCCCATATACACAACTGGTTTAGAACCAAGTTCTTCCAGCCCCCTTATACAGACCCACCGTATCCATCGACCCGGTCTAAGCACAGAATATACGCTTTCTGTCCTCTCGTTTCTGCAGACACCACCTTTGCCACATGAAGTTAGTGAGCACGACTTCCCTAGCAGATGTCTTAAACACAACCTCATCAGTACCCGAGCATTTGAAAGATAGTAAAAAAATAATAAAGAGGATACAATTTAAAACGAATGAATCTACAAAATAAAAAGTAAGAAATTCTATCAAAACTCAAGATATAAAGAAAGATAACGAATGAATGTATGTATCCATATAGCTATGGAAAGTTTTGACGTATATCATCTAAAGTTTCTAACCATTGATCACAATCATTGCATGCATCCTGGATCCGTAGTCAGTTAAAACAATTATACTTACTCCTTAAAAGTATACACTAGGATGTTTAAACCAAACTGGTAAGAAAAACAAAGATGCAACAATAACAATAATAATAAGAGCAGTTAATTTAACGAGCAAAATCTAAATAATTGATCTGAACGCAGAAAATAATCAAACAAAATAAAAATATATTCGATTAAACCAAACCACAACATTCTTCTAATTCATTTTTATATTGTTCGTTTGAATCATTCTATTGATATTAACGACTGTAATTGATCAGTCTCTTATTGGCATATATTGTCTTAAGTCACAAGCATTTTAAGCAAATATGGATGGTGGCTAGTAGTGGAATCCAGGACGCGCGTCTGGTCCTATTTGGGACTTGTCAGCTGGATGTACCCGCATTCCAGGATTGATGTTCATCCTTTTGTACAGAGTATGAACTACCAGATGGGAAAGTCGTTTATTCTGGAGTTCAGTACATTCAACACATGTAAACTCTCATTAGTCTTAACTGAAACGCTATCAGTATAATCAACCATGTCATCAAACAAATAAAGGAACTGGCAGCGCTACTGAATAGCCAGTATTCATCAGCAGATGAATCACTAGGAATACCAGGCAAACATATTAATTTAGTCATGAACTCAATTTCGGATCATGAAAACAAAATGCGAACAGATATGATTCCATATACACACCAAATCTCTTTTGATAGATTTTCGCGTCATGGCTCCAAAACTAGTAATGTTTGTAAGTGTAGTATTGACTATTGTGATAGATGCAGTAGTAAATCTGACTATACTTCAGTTGCTTTACCTAGAAAATTGATTCTTCCATTAATGAATTACGCATCAGAAAGAATAGAGTTGTAGGCGAAGTACAAGGAAGAAAAGATATAGATCACATGTCAAGAGGAATTAGTTGGAAAAATTGAGCTGCATCTTATGATAAAAACTCAGATTGCAGACCAGTTTGACGATGAGTGAAATCTTTGGAACTACGGAGAAATTTCAAACTAGACAGTTGAATATAATTCAATTAACATAACTACTTCGAACAACGGATAGAAGGAATTAACCGATAAACTGAATTATGTGGATAGTGATCAGATCTGAAGGGTTTGATGAATATTCAGTTATTCTTATTCCACTAGCTTCAACTGACGTTGAAACCAACATAACTAAAAGTGTTACCCTAGATGTAAAGGGTGGTAAAATTGCTCGATTGGAGGTTAAAATGGTAACTGATTATAAATTAAGATCTAAAAGCAATATCAATATCGTTTTCAGAAATGATGTCATTAGATTGTGGTTACTGACCATTGAAAAGGGCTTCGGTAATGATGTGTTGATGCGTATAACATGACTGCTCGGTCAAGAGAAAAGCGTAACGACTAGCAAAGAATTTGGACTCTATCACCACAGAGTATTAGTTGCTACAATTACAGTTAATCAGGAACTATGTTTGTAAGAAGTCGACTGTGCTGTCAATTATCATATGCTTGAAAGCAATGAAAGATATATCACAGCAATGATACTAGTTTCGTTATTTATTTGATGACATAATTGATTATGATGAGAGGAGTGCGTCTAAGAATAATGAAAGTTAATGGTATTTCTGAGTCTATGAGAGAATAGAGAACTGTTCAATCTGATCATTTGTATTTTATGCAAAGAAGCGTAGTTTTGCTTAATCAAATAGATTTTAGATTGTATTGTGTCCAGACCAAGTATTCGAGTTCTGGTCATTACAGAACCCAACAACGCCACTTGCCAAATATACAGTCAAAATTTACTTTGGTACAAAATAACGCACTGAGCATCAACAGGAATATTCCTAACGAAATGAGATCAAAATTCTGTCCCCAAGAATTAAGTCAAACTACAAACGTTTCTAAAAGACACCCAAAGAAAAACAATAAGCAACAGCTCTACACCGTAACCCTGAGTTCAGTCACACGAGACCTAATTAACAAAGAACTGACATTACATAATAATAAAATAAATTAATAGCAGTATATCTTAATCAAAGCCAAGCAATAAAGGTTGAGTCAAAAGAAACTGAAAAATATGGCGACATAAGTCATCGATCTAAAGTAAAATATAAAAAACAGGGGAGAGAATTCAATGGAGAATAGCAATACTATCAAATAGGACGATTTGGAGGAATTTTCAAAGAACTCATTCTATTACAGTGAATATTATGCTCAAGATTAAAAGAGAAATAAGAAGACAATGGATACGCTAAAGAATTTTTTAGTGAGTTCTCTAATTTGGTCATATATAAGCTGATAATCAAGTACTCAACTTTGGAACTACATGTTTTGTGTACGATAGTGATAATATGAGACAACCAACAGACAGAATTAGCTAAGGAGGAGTTTAAACGTGTAACCTAGTGGTAAAAAAATGCATTGAAATCATAAACAGATCTAAATTAGACCACCACTGCAAACGTGGAAGTACTGAGTTCGATTTCCGCGTTAGGGTTCGTGAATTCATACTTCTGAGGAGCCCCACACTGGGAAGAAACAATTATCCAGTGCTTCCAGGTTGTCAATGATGGTCTAACTTAAATCGGTTCATAATTTCAATGATATTCAACAATCTCCACAATCCCATACTGAAAAGTAGAAGATTGGATAAATTATCCACTAAACTATTGCTTTAATACTTGTTGTATATAAGTGACAAAAAATTTAAATCAAAAATAAATTGATATACTCAAATATAACTCACTCGAAATATTGTTTTCTGTAATAATACAATATCATCCACTGAATCGATTAACCCAATGATAAAAAGATGTCCATGTTCATTAAACGCAATATTTTGTACACAGGTTTTCAAGCCTTTAACTAAAATCTTACGTTTCTGAGGACTACATGCCCAAAGTATTCTTAAAGCAGCACGAACACCATCACGAGTATGTAACATTGGCACTATTTGACCATCGATTAAATTTTCAATCAAAGTCGTAAAATTATCATGGAACGATTTAGGAATAGCATCCTCATCTTTACAGTCAACTGGTTCATCAACTATGAATGGTACAATTGTTTCGCTTGGTTGAGATGTATTTATACTAGCTTTCACATTAACATGTATTGATGATGCTTTGGAGAATGATACAGCATTCCGTAAATACTCCAATAATAAGTGTTGAACAATACTGTATTTGTTAAGACCCCTTAAATACAAATGATATAAAGGAGTAGTGATAAGAAAAAGGAAAAAATAACATAGAATGACAAAACCCGTGGTGAAGAAATGACAAGTTAGTAAAATCTGGGAATTCACATATTCTATCTGATTCACATGATAAACTAAAGCGAAACTATTCCATATAACAAGACTATACAAAACAAATAAGAGCAAGTGATTAAACTAATTTCATTTTATTTAAACTAAACATTTAATCGCTAGCATGCTTGAGAGTATTGCATGGTTAAGTTTACCTAGTAGTTTCAACTCACAGAGATTTCATCCACGGAATATAGGATACAACGAGATGTTCATCTCTTTGTCTAAAAGTGAGTATACTAGGGTAACAGTTCGTTTTATTTTAATTTGCGATTGTGAAACAACCTTTGAAGGTGAAGAACACGTGAAGAGAATCAATATGAAATCAAGTCTTCAGAGCATTGTTTAGTTACGGTGTTACAACCAGATGAACACTGCCGAGTTTATACACAATTTTCCTATCTCCGACTTTGTTATTAACTCACTGGCTGGTAAAAAACAACTCAATTCCATTTTACTAAGCAATCAACAACACTTTGGAGTAAAAATTCCCCCAAATGCCCTGGTACGGCCAAGGGGGGGGAAAGAGTCAACTCTCCCTTTACAAATGCTCACACATGGCCACACGTATACAGCCACTGCCAGGAAAGTCCTACCCACTACCTTCTCGTGAGGGTTGTTTACAAATTGAGAAAACGGAAAGCGAATATCCGGCGCATCAACCGGGTTGATGGATAGGGATGATCCATCTAAGGGAGTTCAAAAACCCTCATTCTAAACCAATGGTGCACATGGGCTCCAGGATCCTGAGTGAACAAATGGCGTATGAACCAATTATTGGCCACCGGCTACCATGAGACTGCACCTCCTGACATTGCTCCACTGCCTTGTGGATCAGGCCTCTAGGTCGAAGGCTCCGGATATGCCCCCCCTAAGAAAACCACCTACTTCGGTCTGGGCACCCAAGCAGTATCACAGCCCACACATAAATCAAGTGACTTATGTGGAGTATATGTATTCGGTGCCCTTTGTACCAATATTTATGTGTTCAAACAAGTAATAATAAAATGGAGTAAAAATTCAAACGACAATGACAATGTGGCATTTATCGTCAAAGCTAGACATCCAAATAAAAAAGTTTACACTGAAGCCTAGACAATCGGAAACCACTTAATACTAAAAAGATACAATGTAAATCAACTTACTTTGATACCAAATTGATGAGTATCTTAGTAAGATTGTCAAGTATCACAGTACTTTTGTCTGGATGCAATTTTAACGTATCTTCAAGTGTGAATAATTTATGTTCACCAAGTCTCAGAGCATGTCTATTCCCATAAAACTCTTGAATCATTTCACTACGTTGTGATGCAGTGGCATAGTCATTATATAATGTATCTATAATTTCTGATGCAAATTTATGTTGAGTTAAACGTTGAATGCGATTTTTAAAGGCCTAAATATCAGAAATGTTGGGAATAAAAGTAATCTTAATTAAAATTATGGTTTTTATGATAGTGATAATAAACTCATGAGAAACACTAACCAAATGCTTAAGATTATATGATGTAAACCACTTGAATTTAAGTCATTATTTCATATGCCCAGAATCACACGAGTCAGTCGCGTATAATCGACAGAGAGACTAGCATAAATTGAGTTTATTCCAAGTTATCAAACAAATCAGTATGAAATGGAAATATCAAAATGAACAGAAAACAAATCGAAACAATAATAATAGTCATAAAGAATGAACGTTGAGAATGTGGTTTAAAAAGACAACGAAAGGACATGAATGGAGGAAAAATAAGTCTCAGGATCTACAAGAAACCTATTCTGAGCCGTATCCCCTAACATCTACAACTGCTGGTCGCATACAACTTAGTCCAACAATCAATGACTCTATAGACCAATAGTATGTCTTGGTTTGGCCACCTCTAACCTTTTTCAACTTACTTTACTCCAGACACCAATGCATTCACTTCAGGATTGAAGATTCATCCATCATCCGAAACCAGAAATTTACCCATGTCTTATATTTTATATACCGTTTCACAGCCACAGAGTAACAAAGAGCAGACTACTCTCCATTATACTTACCTTTTGATTAACAAACAGCATATCGCCAACGTCACATGTAATACAAGTTGACGAAAGCTAAGCAGGATTTTTGAAACTGTGAAGTGATTAGGTCGGATACAGGATAACAACACTTCCAAATGAAGTGATCAAATTATTCTTTTCTTATGATCAGTTTAGTCACATCCCCTAACCTATTTTGAACTGCATAGACAGATAGTATCATTAATCTACAGATAACGGGTAGAGCTTTGAGCCTAGTAAACGGGCTTACAAGTAGCGTTTTTTATTCTTGTTTCTAAGTCACTTCAAATTTAGTTAATAACTTTCTTACTTTGACTATAAATAACAATAAAGAGGTCATTTTCGCAACTAACACTACAGACTTACTGAAAAAGATATGTCATATGACGTTTTTATACAGAGGGAACGTGGGTATTGTTAGAAGTGGAATACGAAATATCGCATTATTTTGTAATGTTTCTAGCTTTAATTTAATGGATTGATTGAAATCTGTGAAACATATACTTGACGAACGCTAATCATATAATTTTTCTCGACAATGATCGATCATTTTGAGATAGACGTATTAATCCTTTCTCTTCATCAATAGTTTTGGAAATAATATTATTTGGCATACATTTTTTGTATTTTATGTGCTCTTTATCTTTTTCCCTTTATTTTAGATCTATGATACAGTTGGGCACTATTATCTTCGTACTTTCATTCTTCTTGTCAAGTTTGTTTTGTCGAGTTGATATGAAGCATAGTAGATTGAACTTATGCGCAATTGTGCCAGTCGTTGTTTATATATATACTCAGAGGACGAATGTGTACAAATAGGATTACTGAAGCTACAAAACAAGGCTACTTAAAATTATCCAAGTGTAAAGTGGTATATATTATAAAGACCCGAAAAGTATGGTCTTTGTTTATGGGAAGATTAATCGATAGGATTCTGATTCTTTAGCTTAAATTTCTTAGTGATAAATACTTTATTCTTCAGATTATCCAGGATTAGTAACAATATGAATGCCTATTAGTTAACTGTGCCCTAGTTTGCATGACTATATTTGTAGAGAAATCTTAATGGATTCTTACCTTAAACATCTCCAGTATGTATTGTTTGTCACCGTACTTTATTAGTTTCAATATAACAAATTTTGCATAGCGTGATTTGGCCAGCATCACCAAATTTGTATGAACTTCACCGAAAATTTGCCAACGTTGTGACTCTGTACCATATTTAACACAATCTTCCAAGATTCTTGATGTATCATGAGCCATACACAAATCAGGTATGACTTTCTTTAAAAGAACCATAACACAATTCACTTAATAGGAATAAGGTTGAGATGTGTATACTCTGAAGAAAATCCTATGATTAAGTAGTCAGTCAATCGCAAAGTAGAATCTGGTACTTACGTACATCAGTCCACGTTAGAAAAATGAAACAGTGAAACTGACTGCTGTTATATTAATGGCACTAGACTTCTCAAAATTATAAAACACTCAACTTGAAAATTATTTCAGAATGATGGTGTTGGGATATTCAGGAAAATATCCCAAAAATTATCCTGTTAAGCCTAATGCTATCCTTGGATATGAAATGGTATCATCTTATTGGTCAATATTTATTTAACGTGTCATTTTCCTGTTGGCCAATATTGTACAATGTTATTTTCTATTTTATGGTACGTTGTGGTCTGCTTGATTGATATATAAACAGAGTAAGTGTGAAATATGATTCATAACTCAGAGGCTGTGACTTGTGTTCTGGACTCAACTGGCTGGGTTAGACAGGGAAGCGGGGCCAGTCAGAACCCTAGGCCGTTATACGTTATTGTGCGTCTTTGGTTCGATCAATATTTCGCTACCCCTTAATCAGCACCATAATTTTCACATTATAACAGATGGTCACACTGACTTCGTAGTTTACTGCAAATAGGGAAATAGCAGTTTAAATACCACTCACATAATTTAACTAAATCACAGGAAACAAAAAACTAACACAATTCTACTAGGTCAGTCAGACGCAACGTAAAACATGGTATATATGTACATCGGTTCAAGTTGCCATACTCCGTTACCATAGAGAGATGAAATTGTTAGGCAAAATGCCACAATAGTAGAGGTAATAACAGTATCAGTGGTTACAGAAAAGGCTAGGTATTGAAGATGCAACTCAAGAAAACATAAATTAGTGAAACAAAAAGAATTAGAGGGATCCAGAAGCTTAGAATTTGGAGGAAGACAAATAATGAATGCATCTGCACCATTGCAAACGATTTTGAGTCATGTCATTAAAAGTCTCTAACCATAGGTTACGATAACCACGCGGATCGTGACCAAGAAGTCTACATCGGTTGACATGGCTCAATCCCAATGTCAGTAACTTCGTGAACTGATGCCATGTTTTGGTTTGGCTGCCCCTAGGTCTCTTCAAGCCTACTCCTATGCTATGACTTTAAACCCGGCTAATTATCACGTGACATGTTCGCCAATCGGAACACAACTTATACAACCTTATCACTGTGCCAAACCAATGACGTTCGACCGTGTGAGCATCATAGCGTCTTTTGTTCCCCTAGCACGTCCAGTTGAGTTCATAACGCTAATAACAGCTTCCACTATGGGAATCATTTATTTCAAACATACCCTGTTTATATACAAGCCAAACGGACCATATCACATAATAAAATAGGAAATAACATTTGTACAAGTTCAGGCCGAAAAGTGGCTGTGAACGTGGGAGACTGTAATCAATAAATTGAACATAACTTGGGAACATTAAATCGTATTGTAATAGTCTATAGGTCAAAATGAAGCTTATAATAAGATGAATACATATATACATAATCGTTCTATGATATCGTATGTGGTCTGTTAATACATTTAAACGAGTCGTGTTTGAAGCACGAGGAGAGGGGACCACATACGATATCATAGAACGATTTCTAGTTGTGTACCAGACGACCCCACATGACTGACTTATTACCAAACTTCAAATCCCCTGTTGAGATGCTTATGGGACGAAAGCTGCAAACAGTTTATAGTGCGATAACACCTCAGCGACTGGCCCAGCAAAGCCCTCAGATGCAGAAAACTCGAATTCCTTACGAAGTTGGTGCGAAAGTGTATGCGCTGGACTACAGACACGGATGTAATAGATGGAAATGAAGTCACAAAGAAACATGGGAACGTCATGTATGATGTTAGGGTGAACCAAGATATCTGGACCAGACATCATAATCAAACAAGGTCAAGGGAAGCTAAGGAAAAAAGTGAAATTATGAAACGCGTCGCACTCGACTTGCTATTGGATACTTTTCAACTTCCTTCAATACCTAGAACAGAGACAACGGAGTCACCTACTCAATCAGAACATCCTTCAGGTTCTGGGTGTTTACCTCGAAGGTGGTCGGATCGCAAACGAAGACAACCAAAGAAACCTCAGGTAAACCCTCGGTTGCGTCGCCATTAACTTTTTCCAAAGGGAAGTGTTAGGATATTCATAAAAATATCTCAAAAATTATACTGTTAAGTCAAATTCTATCTCTGAACGTGAAATGGTATGTTTTCACATGTTTCCAGAATTTTCACACATTTCACGTGTCATTTTCCTATTGGTCAATATTCACGACAGTCCTAACTGTATAAATATGCATTGTCTGTAAAGTATTGTGATTCTTCTTCTGCGCCCATAGACAATTTCCATCTAACGGTTCGTGTTCTGATATATTGGAGATTAGGGAACAGTACTGCGGTCGTACAGGGATATCTGGAGTTGGTCAATCGGTAGAATGTCGAGTAGCCACATCGCGGTCCACACTAGTCCCAACAAAATTTGCTGAAAATGATAGGACAAGACAGATAATCATATGCAACACAGAATCAGTCACCTATGTCCACCGGTACAATTCCCTAAGTAGCATCTAGACAGGAAGATAACATTACCAAGACAAATACCAAAGGAGGAATAGTATCAGTGAAAATAATTTGAAAGGATATCCATCCGCAGAATAAGAAGTTTAAAATAATTTTAAAGCTCGGGATCTAAAAGAGGCAGAAACCATTCATGCCACTGAACAATACCAACCAACGTCCTCAACCATCGATTCCGATAATCCCGCAGACACCAGATAGTTTGGACATGACATGGTTCAAATCAACAGCCAGTAAATTAATGGACCGACCGCATGTATTGGTTTGGTCCCAGTGACATGGAGTGTTGCTTCATAATTAAAATGACAGTATAAAACTTTCTCGAATTTACAACATAGACCTATCATAGTAAAGCTATTAAAAGTAGCTAAATAGTATGCAAAAAACCCACACTAAATACTACATACTTCAACTATTGTGTACATTCCATTTAAAAATGCTAAGATATTTACGCGATGAATACAACAGCACGTAGTAAATAGTGATATGATTAACGTGTAATTACAAATAGGTTGGAACATACTATTTGTGTCACAAAATTAGAAACAAAACTGGAGATCTACCCTATGACGGAGAAATCTGAGATGAAACTGACTAAATAGACTACCATTTTGTTGGATTTTATCACGTCAATTTCTTTTCGTTCCATTGTAAAATGATTAAGATCTCGGTCACTTATCATTTACAACATTTACCGACCGTTGTTGCTACCTTGACGTGGTGGTCGGGCTTGCCTATCGTGATGAACCAACCGAGCTATACTGGCTGGAACAACCGTTCCTCAAGGTCCTACCATGTCAGACAGGTCGGTTGAAGAGCGGTAAGACTAAAACCAACAAACCCAAGGTCCGAAGGCGAAGTCGTACTGCTGACTGTACAGAGGTGTGACAGCAGTAAGGTGTTTCCTTCAGACAACCAGCATGACAGCGATGCTGCCTTCCCACAAGGAGGGGTGGGGTTAGAAAAGGTCGACCCTAAAAATGCACACCTCGCCTTATCCCACGGATATCCGTCTCCGGCGGTAATGTCTCAACAAGTACGGAGCTAACACAAAAATCACCCATAAAAAGGTCGTGTGTGACCGACCTCAAACAGTTGTCCCTTGGGCACTGCGGTCACGCTCTCAGGTCACTAAGACCACCTCTAATTCGATTTCCTTTTCAGGTACCTCCAGAAGAACCCTTCCACGGTGTGGGCAACCTGGAAGTAATAACCGCCCTTACACCTCTAACAGCACTCAAGACCACTGTATTCATAATCAACCTCCCTCTTCAATTCCTATTATTCCTCCTACATCGACTTCCAACTCTTACTTTCCTCTTTCGGCCTCCTCCTCAAGTGTCACCATAGCCAACGATTCTAGTGCTCAAAACACTAACCCAGGACTACTGAAACCTCGCTCCACGCAACACATTGGAGCCTTCAACGTACGAACCCTATGTCGAATCGGTCAGCATGCTTCCTTGGCTAAAAACCCTAGAGTCTCTTTCCATTGATGTATGCTGTGTCCCCGAAACACGCATACAGGATTCCAGTGTGGTCATTCACTTGACCTCACCTCGGCAAAACGGAGAGCCAACGAGATACACCCTACGTGTATCTGGTGACCCGATGGCCAGTTTTCGTGGACTGGCAGGTGTAGGCATAGCACTAAGCATGAGGGCCGAACAAGCACTGCTAGAGTGGATCCCCGTCAACAGTCGTCTATGTGCTGTTCGGCTAAACGGCTCCGTAAAAACTCGGAAGGATAAGGACACACGTCGTTGCCTTTTCGTCGTTTCTACCTACGCTCCCACTGTCTGCAGCTCAGATGAAGTGAAAGATGAATTTTACAGAAAGCTGTCCGAACTTCTTCAGAAAGCTAAACGTCCAGACATAGTAATCGTAGGGGGTGACTTTAATGCTCAGATAGGTAGTTTAAACCAAACAGAAATGCATTTAGGTGGATATTTTAGTATTTCGACACAGCGAACAGATAATGGTGATCGTCTGCTGCAACTATGCTCAGATAATCGTTTATTTTTAGCAAACAAATTTTAAGCATAAGGAGAGACATCGTCTAACATGGTGACCCCCTACACCAAACCAACGATGGACTCAAACAGACCATATTGCCATCAGTCATCGTTGGAGAGGGTCGGTAGAAGATTGTCGCTCATTCTGGAGTACCTGCTTGGACTCCGACCACGCCCTAATACGGGCACGCATCTGCTTGCGCCTCACTGGATGCAAAAAGCCACGGTAAAAAGACCCATTAGAACTGAGTTGAGTAACGAGAAAACAAAAAGTAGGTTCCAGGAACAACTGAGGTCACAATTAGGCTATTTCGAAAACGAGGCTGACCCAGATGTTGCTTGGAAAGATATACAAACAGCTGTGACATCTATCAGTGATTTAAACCACAGGGTTACAAAGAACCAATGGATTTCATCAAGGTCTATTGCACTGATGGATTCTCGTAAACTCATCCCATCAGGCTCTGAACACGATGAAGAGCGTAAACAAATCAGATCTAGGTTAAGAAAAAGTTTAAGGCACGACCGTGAGCAGTGGTGGGCAACGAAAGCAAAAGAAATGGAAAAGGCGGTGGCTATAGGAAACACAAGACAGCTATACAGACTAATAAAAGAAACTGCAATAATTAAGTTAAATGTAAGTGAGACTATATCTGAAAAAGATTACACTTTCATCTGCTCCCAGTCCAGACGTTTAGAACGATGGGCGGAACATTTTAGAGAACAGTTCAACTGGCCTTCAGCTTCTCTACAACTACCCTCTATTCCCAGACAATGTGAATGGAACATTGAAGTAGGTCCCCCAACCCTAGCAGAAGTTCAAAAGGATATAGTCAATCTGAAACGAGGAAGGGCAGCTGGTCCAGATGGATTGGCTCCAGAGGTCTTTAAGGATGGTGGTCCAATTTTAGCGATTAGGTTGACTAATATTTTAGCTAAGATCTGGGAATTAGACTTTATCCCATCTGACTGGTCGCAATCACTTATCGTCCCAATATATAAGAAAGGGTCAAAATCATCCTGTGACAACCACAGAGGGATTAGTTTAACAAACATAGTATCTAAAATACTAGCCTCGATAATTATCAAACGCCTAACTAAGACTCATGAACTGCAAACACGAGAGAACCAAGCTAGCTCCAGACCTGGTCGTGGCTGCATCGACCACATATTCACCATTCGTCAGGTTCTAGAACATAGGCATACTTATCGAAGTCCGACAATGGTGGTCTTTCTTGACTTAAAAGCAGCATTTGACTCGGTAGACCGCGAGATTCTGTGGCAGTGTCTGTCATTGAAAGGCGTACTCCAGAAGTACATAAACCATATAAAGGTTCTTTACTCGAACACTACTAGTCGAGTGAGAGCTTATGGCGAACTGTCATCTACTTTTGCAACCTCAAGTGGTGTCCGTCAAGGCTGTCCACTTTCTCCATTTTTCTTTAACTTAATCATAGACCTATTGATGAAAATAACATTCTCGTCGAATGAATTCTCGGGTATTGATCTCCTTCCAGGAGGTCCACTTATTGACTTAGAATACACGGATGACATAGTCCTGTTTGGTGAAAACGCTGACAAAATGCAGTGTTTTGGTAGAACTGAGCAACAATGTCAGAACGTTTGGAATGCGCTTCTCTCCCTCTGAATGCAAGTTGTTGCTTCAGGATCGGTCTGCGTCAACACTTGAACTAAGGATAGGGAGTGAAGTAGTCGAACGCGTCGACAACTTCACTTATCTTCGAAGTCTGATCAGCCCTAATGGGCTGGTATCAGACGAAATCTCAGCACGGATTCGAAAAGCTCGTTCGGCTTTTGCCAACTTACATCACCTTTGGCGAAGGCGAGATATCCGTCTATCAATAAAAGGACGAGTATACTGTGCGGCAGTCCGTTCTGTTTTACTTTACGGCAGCGAAACATGGCCTTTAAGAGTAGAAGACTCGTAAGCTAATAGTATTTGACCACAGATGCCTTAGAAATATTGCTGGCGTCTGTTGGGATCACCGGGTAAGTAATAGTGAGGTTCGACGCAGGGTATTAGGAAATGATGATAAATCAGTTGATGAGGTTGTGAATCTTCATCGACTGAGATGGTTGGGCTACGTGTTACGTATGCCTGAACACCGATTTCCACGACGCGCAATGCTAACCGGTGTTGGAGATGGTTGGAAGAGAATTAGGGGAGGCCAAACCAAAACGTGGCATCAGTGCTTGAAGTCACTAACTTCTAGTCTGAGTCATATTGGTAGATGCAGACTACTTGGTTGGGGTCCGCGTGACTATCGTAACCAATGATTGGAGACTCTTGGTGACGTGGCTGAGAATCGATCACAATGGCGTCAGTGTATACACTCCCTGTCTTCCCTTAAACTAAGAGATTAAAACCACTTCATATCTTTTTTTCTACGAACTAATTCATTCTTCCTATACTATATCCTTATACGCAATCTTTCTCCTATATATTACCACCTTTGACCTAACCACTCCTATGAGTCTGGTGTTCATCTTGCTGTGCTAATGAGGTATGGCAACCTGGACCGATGCACATATGTGCCTGGTCCTATGTTGTAGCTGACTGACTGACAACATAATAATCTACTTAACGTTACATTAACAAATACTCAATATGTATACTGGAAAGTTTATTAATAAACAATTCAGTTGTTATGATATCCCAACCAAGGTAATTTTACCCATTTTACCATTAAGTGTAGTTTACTCTTGGATGGTGAGACAATATTTACCTGACAATTCTAGACAGATGAAACCAAGTATCAAAATTTTTAAACTATTAAATACATAAAACAACTAATATACATAAATATAACCTTTGAGATTTTTAACACTTCTTGGATGAATTCAAATCGTTTCTCCTTGGACACATCATCACGTCGAAATTGTTCCCATATCGGCAGTAGTCTAATTACTACTTCAGAGTGTTTCTTTGACTTTAACCTTAATAGGCGGCGCTCTTTCTTAGCCAAGAATGCTAAAAACAAAACGAGGATGAATACCATTTAAACACACAAAAAGGGGAAAAACAGACAAACTTGTCCATCATTTTCGAGGAATGTTGATGAAACTTTACCTTTTGGAGCCTGAAAATAAATTGATAAACCTTGTGTAAATTTTGAATACCGCAATTTTTCTGCCAAGTGTATGTTTTACTTGCTTTGCTTTGTGTACCTGAAACAGGAAATAATCATACTAGTCGACAGCTGTAGGTTTTTTATAAATAAATACGATACTTAACTACGTATACGATCAGAATTACACCCATGATATAAAGTTTTATTCATGTAAGACTGAGGCAACAATCAAAAGTGGCATCTAGAACTTTGTAGTTGTGCAGTTCGGGTTCATAAGTATTAAAAAATATTTGAGCTTATCAAATTAAGTTTGCCCGAAAGTTCATAATTGTACAATTTTTATGTGGATGAATATGAGACGGGAGCTTAATAACATTGGCACATTTAGAACACAGGGTATTAGAATTTTATAACGTTACTGATCGGAGATTTTCTGTAAAGTGCTGAAATCCAAATGGGCACACACATTATCGATACTTTCTAACTAAAGAGGAAAGTTGAACTACAATGGAACCCCGAAACATCAAAAAACACTAATAATGAATAGATTCAAGTAGGATTTTCTTAAACACATAATGGACTATCAAAAGTAGACTTGAAACGATTGATCCCTTTGAGCTGACTAGTTATTTTTTATATCGAGAACACACTACAAGTAAACGGCAAGACTATAATTTATGGACGAACCAATCAGATATAAGATAACGAGTCACGAATTTGGGCGCAGCATTTACCCATACATTTGGCTAAATAGAGTTTTGGCATTATATCTGATGTCATTTCATGATGAAAACCCTAAATCTAATTTTCAGCCCTAACCATCAACTGTAAATGGGAATTCTAACTGCTTTATAACCCTCATTTAGTCCTAATTAATTGTTCACTCTCAAGGTCAGTTCAGTGTCGCTCGGTCACCCATAAATTATAGTCTCACCGTGTATTCTACTAACTAACGAAAAGGGTTGTACAGAATCAATCGTGAAATAAAAACAAACTTACTTTGGAAATACCACCTTCAACAGGCTTTGTTACTTCCTGTTTTTCATCAAGTCTAACCGTCTGAATTGCTGAAATATTGTTAAGATTCACTCACCTTTTTTGGAATACCATCAGGTTGGGTCTAAAATAATAAGCTAATATTATACTTTTGCCTTACTTCAGCATGTCGCTTGCTTGATTTTACTTTAGAAACTTGGTTTACTTCCCTCTTGACGTTGCTCTGTAACAGAAATAAAAAGACTTTACGTCGTGTACCTTGACTGACATTGGTTTCAATACACCGGATAAGTCAAGTTGTCGAGAAAGTGAATACAACGAGGTAGAACCAGCAGTCTAAAGCCCACAACTAATCAAGGTCATAGAAATCCAAACGCCAATCTTTATTAAACAGAACTAAGCAATAATGTTCCTGGTTGCGAAGAGATATATTTCTTAGCGTATTCATTCCGAATCAAGAAACCTAAAATCAATTCAACCTAGAATGTGATCCTATTTTTCTCATTGATTATTCATAGACTGGAACGCCCTTCGCGAATAAACGGTATTGTAGCGGTAAATAAATCCCCAAAATAAATAGCACTAAGTTTTCGACATTGGATGCTGACTATATGTTTTAGTGGACTCGTCTAGCTGAAGGCGCTCGGTCAGGCATCTGCACCAGATCACGTGTGGTAACGCCGTGCTCAACATCAACCGCAATCGCTAGCCAGATTAGATCAGAGAATTCCGATATATTGGTCAACGCCAAATATACTCTTCCGATCTCCTTGACTCTGTCTTTTGATTTCTCTGGGTGGTAACGAAATACATTAGAAGGTGTTACTGATAGAAGCGTTGTCAAACACTGAATACCTGTGACATCATCAGTATCAAACCCATAGATAAAACATTTCCATTGTAAAACGAGTAATAACTTCAAATTCTGTTGCAGAGATTAACATTATTTTACGAACTATCTTCCCTTACTATTGAAAATCGAATTGTACGTGGGGTGATAATGATGCATCAGCTGGAATAGTCGCCCTCAGTCCGCAAAGGACTGTAGGGTTAACTAAGCAACACAAAACCCCACCCAAACTATTTTCAAAGCCGACTATATTCCTCCCATAGGAAGCTGATTACTGGATGTTGTACGATTGACCGGTCAGCATGAACGATGTTTAGAGTTCGTTGATCGACAACTAGGATGTAGCCTTCATATATTCGCTCTTTAATCTATCATGTTGAACATGTGGAATTCTAATAAAGAACATAAATAAGAACTTTCGTCTAAATTTAAACGAATAGTTTCACAATATTTGGGCGCCGAGTTAATGTGAGACATTAAAATATTCGATGATTTTGTTGTTTGATTATATTTTCCTTGAAAAAGCTTGGACCAGATTGCCTGGCGAAACGTTGGATTTACTTAAAACTCATTCGCTGAGATTTTACAAATATATTCTCCTTTTTAATGTCTGATAGAGAACCTCTATCCACCCACCAAGTGTGCGATGAAAGCAGGACAGCTATCAAATTAGGGGTGGTAGGACAGGGAGTTAATAAATGATGTGATTTACATGCAAAATTGCACAAGTTCAGTAACTTATAAGCCATATACTCGAAATAAACCTCGGAGGCTTGCCACCTCCCAAACGGATAGTTCTGCCGCCTATTCAAGACAGGCGTATTTAGGATTCCGCCGGAGATCCAATTTAGAGTGCTCATTACAAACTAACACCAATTAAAATTCATCAATACTTTGTCACCATATAGATTGTAGCGTTCGGGTCAGAATTGACGGTTTATAGTTAGGATTTAGGAACAATCACATTTAATCTATGACAAAAAATGCAGATTTCCGTTATCATTTTAAAAGTTTTGAACACTATATCAACGAATTTGTACAGTTCATTTACCAATTTCGCATTAAAAAAACACCCAACAGTCAGATCAACCAACATCAAATTCATAATCTTCAGTACGAGTGTCAAGATAGTTAGTTCTATTGTATGAAACTGAAACTTTGAGAACTACTGCAACCACCATCAAAAAAGTACACATATTAATAAACACGTGTCTACGCAATATACTCAATGTCTATTGACCGGATACCATCACCAACAGCCTACTGAGGGAGAGAGCAAACCAACTTCCAGCTGAGAAGGAAAAAAGGAAAAGACGCAGGAAGCAGATAGAACATACATTACAAATGTCATCAAACTGTGTCACTATGCTATATTTATCCGTTTGTTATTCGATTGCCAACTTTGACACCATTGAAATCGCCCCGTTGTTAGTTTTGTACTGTGCCAATTGGAACAACAGCCCCTTCAAGAACTGACCCACAGTAGTCTTCCTAGTAGATAAGCATGGTTGTTCATTTTCTATCCCTGTTCAGAAGTACCATGAACTATCTTAGAACGGTTTATAGACTAGTGTCCGTACTGCAACCTAATTGAAGGGACTAGACCTGCACTAAACAGAACTTGACAGTTGTGACAAAGATCATCACTCAGGGAACAGTCATTCCTAAGAGAGAAGCTTATATTCCTTTGAGCCTTTACCTTTAGGGAATGTGCATGACACAGACACGATCTGTGCTGTCATATTTAAATGCTTGGGAGGTGCTTCTCAGGAGGTAAATAAAATTTCCGCCTTGCCAGTTGTAATTACTTAATATTGTGCATCGTAATTCAGAGTGGCCTCGGAAATCTCTTGAGAAAGATATGGTCCGGAGGCCGACCCTCGCTAATAGGTCTTCCAGACTGTGTACGTAGGATGACATTATATATTCTTACCAATCTAAAGAAGGATCATTACCTTATCATGTTATTGAACGGAATTATAAATTCTCAGTTAATATTCAAGTTTGGATTAGGAAAATAAATAGATCAGATCTTCTCGTGTTGCCTATGCCTAAATAGTTTCAGGCTTGGGAGTGGATAATACCCCCTATGATGAATAAAGTGATAACATAGGAAAAAAGCAGTTCTTATGCCTTATGGTTCTGCCGCCTTCATTTTTTAAAATTTGAGGTACCTGTGCCTTACGGAAATAAACAGGGATAAAGCAGGAGCTGATCAAAACCTTCACTTATTAATGTAGACTGAGATAACTGAACATCAATTTGATAAGAAAGCTTTGGTAATTTACCATGCTCTTTCGATCCTACGTGTAATCGAATTGTGGTAACCCGCTACATAATTTTAGTCTAACTATTAGATTATAACTGAACTTACTTCCGCTTAAAGGATCCAAAAACAAAAAGATAGTTAGATGTAAATGATCTACTGCAGACAGTCCAGGAATACAGAGTAAGAGAAGAGAATACGGAAAGAGTTTGTGAAGGTAAGTTTGAAAACACATGTGAGTTGTTTATTATTGACTGACTTTATATACAGCCAATAAGGGAAAGAATACAAAGTTTCAACAAAAACTCACACACATGAGTAAATGATTAACCGATTAAATGTTTGTTTGTTTGACACGCTTCGTGTGTGCCACCGTATGATAACCGAAAAAGCTTGGTACAGAGACGTTCATTCTTTCGGCTCGTTATTTTGGGGATAGAATTACTTGACCTTTAACCCTATTTTGATGACCTTGAGTAGTAGAATCTGTGTTTGCTCACTTTTCTGGTGAGAACAGCATCCATGGTGAGCTTCGCTCTGTATTAAATCTTACTAATTGGTATAGGCTTATGCATCGATAAATAAATCCTCAAAGTAAAGAGTAATTTAGGCCTTCGACATTATTGATGACCGGACTGGTTTCAATAAACGCACGCTATCTGAAGGCGCTCGGTCACGTTACAAGGGGCTAGCCGCTTGTATGCAGTACTCAAGTTTAGGCAACTGCCAGGTTTAAGACAGTTCGGACAATTTCTCCAGGTCACTTCGGAGTTCTATGCTATCACCTTTACTTCGTATCGCTCTCCATATTTTGACATCGTCGGCATACCAACCCTTTTATGAAGAGGCTGCAAAGTGTGGAGCTAACTCTTGAGTGACAGCGGCGGAAAATTTGAATGACGTAATTAAAGGGAGAACAGAAGTTTATTTTATTTTCAGTGGTACTGAGGTGGACTACAATTGGTTTTCGAAAACCATTCATTTCATTATCAATTAGTTTTTATTTCTTTTTGGTTCTTAATGGATGTGAACAAGAATTTCACTTTTCCATAACTTAAAGAATTAAACACCTACACATATCACGAGGAACTAATAATTAGTTGTTTTTTTCTTGGCAATGATTGTACATTAATATTTTGCTTATGGTGGTAGTTTTGGAGTAGTGCGTTACTGCGTTGTACCTATCCGTCCTAGGACGTAATTGTGAGTGAAACGTCACTACTTTGTTTATCATCCCCGTAAGTGTTACGGCATTTTAGTCTTCCAATGTTTTTTATTCGTCGCACTTCAGACAAGTTTTTAGTGAATTTAAATCCCTTGAAAACCAGTTCTAGAAGTCACTTTAGGGTCATGAATGCGAACTATGATGGTACTTTTTTAAAAAGAAAGTTTGGTAAAACGCAACATCATTTAGCAGTACCTCTATGGTTAATGCTAGCCCTAAGCCTGGGTTAGGAGAGGGAGGGAATGAACGTGAGATTAACAACTTCATCTCATAAAAAAAGGACTCCGCTGTAAAAACCTGAACCAGAGGGAATATGAGAATTAATATTTATTATTCAAATAATGTGCCTTATTATTTTTATCTAAATATCAAATTATCATTCTACGTAACACGGAATACTTATTTAACTATTTTATTTCCATTTTAAAAATAACAAACTGATTTTAGCTAGACTACCACAGGAAACCAGATGATAGCGCAATACACCTTCCTCGTCCTAAGCAATATACATCCAGGATACCACCATAGGGGATCAGACCCAAAAGGTTTGGTCTCACAAGTAGACTCCTAACCTCCAGATTATTGAGCCGCTATCTGGTAGTATATATGCTTAACCTCAGACAATTCCCGATACTGTGCGATTATTTCTCATAGCGTGAGGTGAATATCTGTCTTACATCCGGCATAGACGAACACCATTAATCACAGCTTCTCACCAGAACTTTAGAAATCGCATGCTGAGGCTAGTCCCTAGTGAGCATATGATTTAGAGTCATAGAGAGAAGCTGTGACTAATGGAGATCAAACTTGTTGCATGTGCGACAGTTATACACCATGGACGGTGAAAGATAGTCACGTAATATTATGAATTGATGAGTGCAAGAAATGCTCAATGGTCTGGGGTCTAGGCGCTAACCGCGAAACCAAAAGACCTAGGGCCATAAATGCCCACTGATTATGAGTTCATTACTAGTTAGAAAAAGCTATCCAGTGAT